ACCTGTATATATATGCATCAAATAGTGAAAGTGTTTTGGCTACAACTTTTTATTGCGTCGGCCTCAGTTGACAATTGTTTCATACTTAACATCAGAGTACTTGTCTAGCAAACTCACGCAATGCTAGCTGAAACCTCGGCTTATCACTTGAAGACCTTCCCTTGTAAGCATCGAATTCCTTTTACTCATTAATATGTCTCGATAGATCATTGATTTCTCAATTAATTTGTATAAGTTTAGTCTGATTTACTTCGGATCTTACTAGCAAATTAGTCTAATTAATGCTTTATTCAATCATATCAAAATAAAAAATCTCTGATATTTCATATAAATACAGAAAACAGAGTATAACAATCGAAAATACCATAATGAAGCTGTATGAAATTTGTCTGATTTTTAAGTATTTTCAGATCGAATAAATTGTAATTGTATTTATCACCATATCTGATGTTTCTACTACGATTGACACTCTTTCGACGACACGTGTATGGCGATATTTTTTTGATCATCAGGTATCGACTGTCGTCTATTTTTCTTTTGCTACTCATAATTGAATTTATTTTAGGCAAGAAAGAACATCTCAGTTCTTATTTTAAAAAAAAGATTTGAACTTTTTTCTTATTTTCAATTGCGTTGAAATTTTGATTTCCACATTGAATAAAATTATCTGCTTCGTAAAGTTTGTTCATTATTATTTTATGATTTAGAAAGAGTACGTTACATTCGTTTAAATCGATTGCTGAATTAGAATCATTCATTTCTGCATTTATTTATTCAGCTCTGATCTTTCAGCACAATATTTTAACTTTTAAATATTTGGTTAAACTTTGTTTTCATATGTATTTCGAGAGAATATATTTTAAATTAGCTTTATTTCAGTAATCAATTGAAAATTTATCAATAACAGTATTGTCATTTTAATTAGACTTTGTAGAAAATTCACTCAACATCACTGAATGCCTACCGTGAATAATAACTAATGAAATAATTCTTTTGTTATCTATACAAATGCAATTGTTTAAAACGAACATCGATATTAATCTCATACTAAGATACAACAATGCTTGATGATATCCTATCTGAAAAGGAGATACATAATTTATATTTTTTATATGAGTATAAGCTGATTACTAGCAAGTAGAGGTCTAACTCGATGGGGTGAGCCGCCATCGCTACCGACAGTGGTAAAAGTTTGAAAAAATCTCAGCCACCGCCGCCATGACATAAAAATAGATACTCGACTTTCGAAATTCAGAATTAGCGTTCTGAAATGTTCTACTTATTTAAAAAAGAAGCGAAAACACCAGATTTTAATTTGAAATCAAATGAAATCTTCTATTTAAGACTGAAAGTCTGATTTTAATCGGCTCAATCAATAAATATTTGATTCTAATTTATTTTATGGGCACTTTTTTCTGCATGAATCAGTATCAATTGATATAGTATACTGAACTTCAGAGTGTCCATCAAAGATCAGTTTAGCATTGTTCTTACCATTTGTTGAGCCGAGGAGTCCAAACTACGATATAAAAATTTGAGCTTCTCAATTAAAACTAAAAAACGTGCTTTATTACCATTGTGATTAGAAATCTTTGAAAAATTGAATAATCTGATTAAAATCAGTTTTTTTTTCTTTTTACATGGGTTGTCTAGTTTCATGTCATTCAAGTCTCTACCATCTTTTTCTACATTTTTTATTCAAAATCCCTTGAAAGCAAGAAAAATTTGAAAAAAATTGTCAAAAACTTCCAACCGTAGCCACCGTTGATCAATGAATTCCCAGAAAGAACGATCTTTTATCTGATTCCGATTCAAATGTGATTGACTCTTGTCGAAATCCGACAATATCAGTCAGAGTCTATCGAAGCTTCTAGAAATTCTGTTTAATTTGATACAAGATCAACTCTGAATTATTCCACTCCAATAGAAACCAATTAGGATAGTTGCACTTGAGTTGACTTACACCGCTAATTAAAATAGATAGATATTTCTTATTCCTGAAAAGATTATTCAGTTTTAAACTTTCCAGTCATCCACGACTTGAGCAGAAAAAACATCTTTATTTCTTATATCCGCCACTACCGACTAATTCATCGATTTACGTCTCTAATAGTAAACATATGAACATGCTGAAAAGTGTACTTTTCATCCGTAAATAAGGATAATATTTTTTCATTAAATTCCTATATTCTACTGACAGACTAATAGTAAATATTCTTTAAGCCTTTGAGATTTGTTAAATTTTCTTTTTCTTTTTTTTATTTGACAAGCCTCCATTGACAAAAGATGAAAAACGCAAATGTATCGGTATTTATTGCTCTACGATTGCATATTGTCCGTTGTTTTTGGTATTTGTTTATGGTCAGGTTTATATCATTTGGTAAAACGAATACGAAATTACTTTTCTTACTTAAAGTAGTACTGAAAATTGGTCTTACACCAAGGAGATGATCTTGTTTTCTTGATATTTCAAAAATGTATCAAATTATTGAGGTGTGTTTCCTGGCAACGTCTAGCTTAAGTTTCATAGTTGATATAGAATAAATAGGACGTCTCTCCGCTTTACGCTTGATATACTTGGTAAAATATACTGAAAATTATTTCATTTGGTCTGACTCACAGTTGATTAACCACTTCATATAAAAATATCTGTGCATTTAGTAATGGGAAATTTTGCATCTTTTGTTTTTGAACAAAAAAAAAGATTCTTGAGAATAATGTATTAATGAAATTTCACTTCCCCTTAATAAATCTCTATTTTGAATAGTATGAAGTGTGCGATCAATTTTGAATTAATGAAAATAATATCGTTTTTAGTGTATTTTATGTAGTCGTGCATGTACACAACGAAGAAAGTTCTATTTAACACATTTAAACCACCATATAAAAGCTATATTGTGCCAAAGAGTGCATCTCAATATGTGGAAACATTCCTCAGTAGGTTAATGATTCATCTTGAGAACTGCTGTGGCAGTTTGAACGAAAATTGATGACCTTCTTTTAGAAAAAATATTCGATCGCACCAACAATTGTTTTACTTGCTGTTAGTTTGGTGTTGTGTGTGATGATAATCAACTGGCTAACTATTGGTGTTTATGCTCTCATTCGGCAGTGTCGTCATCGTCAACAACAACAACAACAACTTAAAGAGACCATCAAATGTAACAATTCTTTTCGTTTCGCGAATGTCAAGTTGTGGTTAAAAGAAAATCTTAGCAAATTGAAAACGATACCAATCGATGTTTCTATCCAAACACATCAACAGCTCATTGTTTAATGTATCATTGAATTTCAATTCTAACATGCTATATATATGTTGTCATGTTTGATGAAAATTATGATCTCTCAAATTAAATAATTTTTCATTAATCGAATTTTTTATGTACACATGTCTCGTTATATTTGTTGTAATATACTTTCTTATCTGCTACTTTTTAATTCTTTTTCTGAATATTTTCATTGATGACTTTTGAATTATGTGTCTGTACACGAGCTGTAAATAGATCGCTTTTTTTCAACCAAGGCTGACTTGTTGATCTGTAATCCAAGTTGAATGCAAAAGAATGGACTATAGAGCAAATTAGGTCGACTGATGTTTCTGATTTTTTTACATCGATTAAATTATATAGCTTTATAATAATATATCATTTTAGTTATCAGCCATATGCAAAACTCATTTTCATGAAGATAAGACAATGACCAGAGTTCTTGAACAAAATAGTAAATTTTAAAAAAAAATAGATAAATCATCATAAATATTTTTATATAGGAAACACTAGATTTATCGAAGTTTTTTTTAATATATCATCAATGTATCAGATAGTCGGAAAAAATGAGATTAGAGTAGAAAGTCAACATATGATCATGTATATAACGAAGTGATAAAAGAAAATACACAAGGATAATGCCAGAAACAAGAGATACTAATAATAACAGGCAAGGACATTTACATTTTACTGTCCATTTTTTTCAAGAGCATGTATCCGAAATATATCATCTAACTTTTCTGGATCTGAACAAGTTCTACTGTCAGTCGCTGTAGGTTCTGCAATCTTTACAGATTGTTCATCGAAAATCAATAATGACCGTTAGTGGATAAAATCATGAACTTGTCATTTCATCTTGTATCTTAAGTTATAGTAAAGAAAAGAGTATGGGTGTAGTTCAAATATCCCAACTTCGATTAACACTGGTCACTCCACGCTCATCCACACCGTTTGATGCAATATGTCAAGTTTCATCAAGAATAATATTCAATTCTATTATATTTAAGTGTCAATCAATTGTTAGTTCTGTGTTTTTTATTAAAAGTGTCAATTTTTTTTCAATAAAACCACAATTAATTTTCATTCATTTGCCTAAAACTGCCAAATGAATTTTTATTGTTTTTTTGTCCTTTGTGATGAAAATGATTAATAAGATATATTAATGAAGAAAAATCTCGCAATATTATACCTTAATGATAATACTCAAGATTGCCAATATAATTTAACTATAATAAACATGAATATAATTTATAAACAACTTTAGTCTATTCAATATTATCAAATATTTTTATTTTTAAATTAGATAACTGAAAACGTCAAAAAGTTCAAATAGAAAAGAACTGGTATTGAGAATGTTACTCAAATTTAAAGAAGAAAAGGTTCTGATTCTAAATTGAATAGATTTTATATCAAAGATAATACCTGTACTCATATTCACTGTGTTTAGGCTTTTTTTTTCTAAATAAGAATATGAGAATAGTTTTGTTATTAATACTTGATTAAGAATATCATCACCATTAAATCATATCTGAACATGAATACTAGAATAATTAACTTACCTATTTCGAGTGCAGTTTTTTTTTCTTTTTATCAAAAACCTTCTGATGTTAGAAAATACGTTATCAATGGAAAACATAATATGTGCATTATTAAAAACACTCTCAGGTTCCATTTCACAGTAATAAAAAGCCTTTGTTGAGACTTACAGAAGGCATTAAAGAAAACACGGTGAATATGTCGTCATTAACTATTTCATTGAATATAGCACAAAAACTGTTAGTTCAATATTGTCATATGACAATATTTCTACTTGGTACAATTGGTTCTTTAATAAATATAATTCTTTTTCAACGACGTCACTTACGAACAAATTCATGTTGCATTTGTGAGTTATTCAATGATAATACGATAATAATAGATAGTTTTTTGTTTTTTCTTTTGTCTTTTCAATTAAAGATTTATTATCATCATCAATAAGTGCATTGATATTACTTTCAATAGGAATTGTACCACAAATCTATGCTGTTTATAATTTTTCAAATCCATTTACTACAATTTCAAGTTTTTGCACAGCTCGAGCTTATTTAAATCAAACATGTGCTATGTCATGTCGTTGGCTTTTAGTTATGGCTTGCGTAGATCGTTGTTTTTCATGTTCAAGTTATGCTCGTATTCGTAATTTATCTTCTGTAATTATGGCTCGAATAATAATTATCATTATTAATGTTATTTGGTTGATATTACCAATTCATACACTGATTTACACTAATATTCAACCTCCAGGAAATATAGCTTGTATATTCACTGATAAGACTATTGAAATTTATCATGGGTTTTATACAATTATAATGGGTAGTGCATTACCATCTCTTGTTGCTTTTATATGTTGTTTATTTATATGGCAACATTTTCAAGAAAGAAGAAGAAGACGTCAAATAATAATTCCTAATAATCAAGTCGATAGACGAAAAAGATTACGAAACCAACAAATAATATTTATGTTATTAATACAAGTAGCGATCTTTATTGTATCAACAATTCCATTTATGTCATTTAATATTTATAAGGCAATGACACAATATGATATGATCAAATCAACAGATCGTAAATCTCTTGAAGCATTTTTAAGAAGTTTAGCTGAATTGCTTGTTTATTTGATAACAATGTCATTTTATTCAAATACATTAGTATCACGTACATTTCGAAAAGAATTAATTAAATTATTTCAAATAATAATTATTTGTCATCGTCAAACGAACCGTCGAAGAATTAATCCATTGAATATTGCTACAACTAAAACAACAACAACAATCCCAATGACAATAACGAGAAAAACCATATCGTCAATGCCTCGAGCGTTTAAAACAAGTATCAATAACATATGAAATGCCGTTTATTTCAAATTGACATTAATCAGGCTAATTTATTTACAATAAAAATACTTCATCTAGTATTAGTTTTAACCGTAGTGATCAAAGAATTATGAGCTATTAGGTTAGCATTTGTGTTAAAATAAGCTTTAATCCATAGTTATTATTTGAATTTCAATTAATTAATACAAAGTTGTGATAATTAAATTATCATTAGTTTTAATTCAAATAGATATGTTAAATTTGATTAGACCTATCAGAGTTCATCTTTGAAAGTTTCTGATAAAAGAAGCCAAAGGTTTTTTTGTTTTATACTTGTAAATAATATTCTCAAAGGAGAAGAAAATTGTTCGGATTTGGGAATTTTTTAGGTTCGACTATTGAAAATCTAGTTGTTGATAATCAATTTAGTAGAATTAAAAATAATGCTTATTTAATGATAATAATTAATATTGATTAATTCTAATAGAAATAAAAACAAAATATGAAGGTTGATTTTAAATACAAATGATTAAAGTATAATAATTAGTATTCTAAAATGATGAACATATTAAAATTCTTTAGAATTCTACTTTTGTAATTTATTGTAAATAATCTTATACTCCATTTAAACTATTAATAAAAATTTAGATTGAATATTGAGATTTTTTTATATTGATGTGATTAAAAGCACAAGTCAATATTAAGAATATTTCTTATATAAATATCTGATTGTTTCTATCGATTTATATATTAATATGATATATCGATTCTAATTAAATTCTAAAAAATTTTTCTATTTTATAGTCTCTTTTTTGTGTATAACGAATCTTTGGAGTTGTTTTTATCTGATATATAATATTTCATCGAATAACTGATAGATTGTCGATTGCTCAAAGAAATAAAACGAATAGAATAAATAAGTAATCCAGTAAAATTTTTTCTTGTATTTTATTCAATGTTAAAACACGTTACAAAATTTTCTTCCTCTTGTTACGTGTTAAAATGCGTCATTCGATTTACTCGTCTACACAATCCTTTTTTTTTTGTTGCTTATCGTAGTTCGCTTTTTTTATTTCTTGTGTAAAAGACGATCACATGGCAACTTCAACGACAAACAATTTGTGTTGTATAACATGTGGCAAAGCAGTGGCCACTTTTATCTGTCGAGGATGCTCAAAAGATTTTTGTATGCGTCATGCAAACGAACATCGACAAGATTTAGGCAAACAGATGGATGAAAATGTTATTTATTTTCATGATCAACTAAGACAAAATTTTGATGAACAAATGAATAAATCTTCTGATCATTCATTGATGAAACAGATTGATCAATGGGAAGAAAATTCTATTGAAAAAATTCATCAAACAGCCAATGATGCTCGAAAACAATTATCATATATAATTGACAAACATATAAACAAGTTAAAGAATGATTTAGAATGTCTTACACAAGAGTTGAAAAAAGCTCGTGATGATGATCATTTTTTTGAAAATGATTTGAACAAATGGATGACAAAACTCAACGAATTAAAAAAAGATTCAATTACACCACAAACAATTAATATACATTATGATAACAATACAACTCCATTTATATCGAAAATAATTATTAAACAAACAACAGATATGTTAAATGAACGCTTTGAAAAATCTTTTGGTGATATAATTATTTCAGATAATGGTACTGTTGCCACTCACAATAAAACTTCTCATTATGCATCAGTACGTGGTAAATGTGAATATACATCAGGAAAACATCAAATTCGTTTTCAAATTAAGAATTTCAATAACGAAAGATGGACTTTTTTTGGAATTTTGTATAAACATACGACTGCTTCAGGATACGATTCAGTAGGAAAAACAGCTTATGGCTTTTCTGGACAAGATAATGTATGGCGTGATGGTTCTGCTAAGAAAGGATTTAACGGTTATAAAAGCGAATTTGAAATCAATGATATTATTGAATTCATTATCAACTGTGATCAACGAACAATAAGTTTAACAAATGAACGAACGCATAAAACCTTTGTTTTAGATGTTGATATCACCAATTGTCCTTTCCCATGGAAATTGACTGTTGGACTTTTTTTTTCTCCTGGTGATTGTATTTGTATCTTGACATAAAATATTATTTATATGTATTTGTTAGGATCCGTTCTCCCTTTATTTGAAAATAATAGAACGAGAACCTAAATTAAAATAAACACAGTAACAACTACAACTGTAAACAACAAGAAAAAAAACAAAAACAAAAAACACCGGGTTCGGCTGATGATTAATTTATCTATATCTTATCTCACATTATATATCATATATAATGTATGGGAGGGAGGATCGTCCATCTATATTGTATAGATGGCAGATCCTAACAGTATTATCTTAAAACTTTTACTAAATGTCTGTATTCTTCTTTTGACATACTGATAGTTTGTACTCAACAATTCAAACGATTATTATAGGTTTTGTTATAAAAAATAAACAGTTTTTCAAAAGTCTACAACAGAAATTAATTTACATCTGTAAATGACTTACGATGGTAATTAGAATATGTTATGTAGTAAATTGAATATCACCAACGTAAATCGCTGTACTTTTGAATTAGTACCATAATAAATAATAAATGTCTATATCAATATGTTATGTATCTGGGAAGATTTTCTAGACTCAAGTATTTTCATGATACTTTTCTGTTTATTAATTGTTCTCGTCTCATAAGCTGTCGAGAGAATGATTAATTACGCCCCCTCAAAAATCGATCTCAGTTCAGAAATATCCAAATTGCATGATACTTTCAGAATATGTTGGGAACAGTGAGCGATGACTATAGTAAAATTTTCAGCCATGTAGCACGATGCTTAGCAGAGATATTCACCAAACAAGGGTCAAAAATAGCTCGATCATATCATCAAGTTTTCTCTGTGGACCTTCATCCCAGACATTTAGTTTTTTTTTGTTTGAAAGAGCACATCAGAATGCAGCCTCTCTCGTGGCCCTTTTTTTTAAAACTCTTACTGTTTAAGCGAAGAAAAGGAATGACAATTTCAATGACTCAAAAAAATTCCTAAAAAATGGCGCTGTTTTATAGAAGTGTTCTCTTATATGATAATAAAAAAGCTTATTTTAAAAAAAGGGCCAAGAGAGTCACTAGCCCTAGACACAAGCTTTGAAATAAAAAAAATATTTGACTTTATCTCTTACTATGATAGAGTTCTGCTGGAGATACGTCGTTGAATCTACTTTCTGAGAAAAATGAAAAATGATTTTCGATTTTTTGTAAAAATGGCTTGTTTTTCGAATAGGAGGTAACGAAAATCTTCCAAAATTTTTGGAAAAAAAGAGATGCTGAGTAAAAGCTTTTTCATTTATGAAAGAGCAGATGACGGGCTATTTTACCATGAATTTATCTCAATTTCGAACATTTTGGCGAAAAGTGACTTTTTTTGAGGGGGTTCTTACTTCATTTATGGAAATCAGCCCTCCTTACTTGTGCTAAATAAGTGTTTCCTTGTCGATTGATTTTTTCTTAATATATAAAATTTTATTATAAAATATTCAATTTTAATATTGATGTGAATAAAAATTCTTTTTGTTTGTTTTTGTTTTTTCAATCGATTTAATTCTCTTTGTATGAAACAATGATTCATAATTACAATGACACATTATTTTTATTTTTTAACAGTTAAAATTTGTTTATTTATTTATTCGTTTTCTATTTCTTGTAGAATAAGAGCTAATAAATAATCATTGTTTTGTTGTTTGTAAGTTAATTATAAATCTTTAGCGATTAATTCATCATTATTATTATAATTTCTTCATTTATATCTTTGATAATATTAATATCATTTGATAAGATTTAATGATGATCATAATTAGTTGTTGAATTTATTTATTTTAATGTTTATTAATTCGAGTTCATTAATTTAATCATTAACAGATGATCGTGATAGATCATTAGTTTTATCAATATAATTATAATTTGATTGAAATTATTGATTTTGATTGATATCAAGAGATATGTTATTGAATGATATTTGTTTTTCATTATTATCATTTGATATTTATCTTATTGATTGTTAATCAATAGTTTAATATTATTGTTGGGTTAAATCATCAATAAATTTGAATCTTCATCCATATATTTTGGTTCTTCATTAACATAAATCGTATTTTTTATTTGATAAATATTCTTGAGAATTATTTTCTTCATTTACATTTGATAATAAACTTTGTTCAATATTTAGTTGATCATCAATCGGTTGTTGTCGAGCATATGCTACAATATCTTCATTGGTTTCAGTGTGTTCTTTTTTTTGTTTATAATACATATAATCTCTAATAGTCATGTTTTGAGAAGATGCTTTATTTAATAAATCGATAAGATATGATGAAGAACAACAAGGACAATTCTGTTAAGCCCCCCCCCCCTCCTCAAAAAAGTCACTTTTCGTCAGAATGATCGAAATTCAGATAAACACATGGGGAAATAGCCCGTGATCTGCTCTTTCATAAACGACAAAAATTTTTACTCGACACCTCTTTTTTTCGAAAAATCTTGGAATACTTTGTCATCCCCTATTCGAAAAACAAGCCGTTTTTGCAAAAAACCGAAAATTATTTTTCGTTTTTCTCAGAACGTGGGTTCGACGACGCCGCCCCCACGGCATTCTATCACAGTACGAGATAAAGTCAAATATCTTTTTCTGTTTGAAAGAGCGTGTGGAACTGCAGTGCCTATGAGAGTCCTTTTTTTTGAAAAAGACTTTGTTATTACTATATTGAAAACCAGTTTTAAAATTGAAGCGACATTTTTTGAGAGTTTTTCGAGTAATTAAACTTGTCATCTTTTTTTTTCTCTAGAAAAGTAAGAATTTAAAAAAAGGACTCTCATAGGCACTGCATTTCTGACATGCTCTTTCCAACAAAAAATAAAAATTAAATATATAGAATGAGCCTGGACAAATAATTTTGGGGGCTCAGATGAGCTGTTTTTTGACACATATTGTGGGTATATTTCACCCAAACATCATGATGTAGAGCTGAAAATTTTACCAGAACATCTCCACTACAGCCCCAACATATGCTACAAATTTCATGCAGATTTCAATATCTCAGTCCAGAGCAGAGATGTCCATGGGGGCACAACAATCGACGTCAAAGCTGCCCTGCAGGGCAACACACACGTCGATTGTTGCGACTTCATGGACATCTCTGCTCTGGACTGAGATTGGATTTTGAGATGGGGGGGGGGGCCTTAATGTTGTCTTTTTATTTTTAATTGTTCTTTATCGCATAAATTATGTTCAAGAGATCCCAGGTGGAAGAAAACGGCCCATAAACGGCCTGAAACGGCATACAAACGATGTAAAACGTTAAAAAACGGCGCCGTTTTCCGTCAGCTCGGAAAACGAAGAGAATAGTGTTAAAAGCGATGGCCGTTTTCTAGCAAAAAAATGGCCCGTAAAACGAGCTGACGGATTACGGCGAAATAGGGTGAAAATTAATGCCGTTCTATGCTGTTTAATAGCCGTTTCAGGCCGTTTCCGATGGCTTTTCAGACGATCGGAATTATCCTTCTGGGATAAGCTGTTTGTTCGGTGATTTTCTACACAATTATGAATATATTGATTGGAATTGGTTTACACTAAGTAAATATATATGAATATGGAAACTAATTTTTAAATATAAACTTCTAATTGAAATATTTGTAGAAGAAATTTCAATATGCGATTTTATTCAAAGAAATTATTTTGATATTCAAAGATGAATTTTCTCATTAAAGATATATCCCGACGAATTAAGTTGTTTTTTTTTCAAAATTAAATAAACATATAGTTAATATTAACAAACTGAAATATTTTCGAATACATCCAACTTTATTTGGCATTGATCTCTTTAAAGATTACAGAAAATATTTCTGAGGAATTTTAAAGTCATTTTTTCTAGATTAATGCAATGAAACTTTAAGAGACGGTCCATGAGAAAATCGAACATTTTTCAATAGGGTCATACTCTCGAAAATTTTAACCCCTATATTTTATGACTGGAAATGAAAGAGCAAAGTGAGAAACCTATAAATCCAAAATTTTAGCTCATTTAAACTTACCTCTCAAAAGTTACCAAGTACGAACTGAAAGCACCCTCAACAGGTTTTGAAAAAAAGAAATTTTTTTTCTGAAAAATTTAGTGAGGCAGTATTTGCTGATTTTTTCTACAATGAATTTTTAGAATCTTTTCGAGTTATATACCATTTGATAGAAAAAATTCTCCTCTACAAAATTGTATATTTCTTCTTCTCATCGATGTGCATTTTGTAGGTACAACAGTCACGAAACTAAATCAACCCTACTATTTTTTTTCACATTTTTGTCTTGTTACTTTTTCATTGCACATTATATTTCTCTACTAATTTTAACGATCCCAGAGATTTTTTTACAGCTTTTGATAGAGTATGAAAAGAGCTATCTAACTAATATAAAATGTTTGAAATCAAAGTAGCCCATGGTGTTCATACAAGCTTCAAAAGATATTCGACTACCACCTTGAAAAATTTTTTTTTCAGTTTTTTGCTTAACCAATTATCAATATGTTAGCTCTAACTTTTCTAACAAGAAGCCAATTGAAATTTAGTTTTCACCATTAAATAAAATGTAATATAATTTATTAAAAAAATTTTCAAAGTCACTTATATTATATGGCTTATTGATCGTTTTTCTCTGGAATATGCGCAGTATCATAGATACCTCCTATTCAAATTCATAGTTTCTTAAAATGAATGAATTATGCTTTTAAAACGATTTCAAGTGTTTTAATACACTGATTTGATATATTTTGTTTTGAGTTACTTCCAACAAATGAGCTCTAAAAGATTGAATACAATTACACACCAATGTCATCAATAGAACATTTAGTGAAGTTTTCAAGAAAATTTTCTTTACCTCTTTTTCAACGACGTATCAACAAAATTTCAACAATTATATTATCTCAAGCTTATTTATTTTTACAAATGTTGGCTTGCACTTATAGGAATTGCTTCAATTCAATGTATACTTGATTACGTTCTTCAATAGCAGAAAAAAAGGTAAGAGATTAATTTCTTATTTTTGCAATTATTATATGAAAGGGATGAAAATTAGGTATTATCCTTTCTCCTCATGTTTTCGAAACGCTTTGCGAATGCTAGTTGTGAATCGGATTTATTCCTTATTCTACAATGCAATTTCAAGAGGTGTATGAATGGAGGAACCTTCACATTGAATCATGTTTTCTTGACGATTACAGTGTAAATTATTTTATATATGAGAAGTAATTTGAGTTTGTTCAAGTTAAAGAATGTACTTGTGTTGCTTAATAGATTTCATAGATATCTCTATTACTTAGGGTTTTTGTTGAATAATTTTTTCTCATGTTCTATGAATATTTTTGGCTTTGTGTACTAGTTGAACGTTTTTGTGTTTTTTGTTCATTTTGTATTGATGATAATGGTCGTTTTTCTTTACTTGCTCTTTCTACCATTTGGTTTGTTTCTGTTATAAATGTAATTCGCTCGATGGCTTCGTTGACTGCTACATCATCTTTGAGAGATTCCTAGAGAACGAAAAAGGCTGGAGAAAAAAAAATATGAACTATTATTCAAACTTCAGCGCTAGCATCTTCGTCCAAGTCTTGTCCTTCTTCTTGTTCACTTTCTGCACAAACTGAATTACTCGACGAAGTAGAAGATGAAAATTGAGCATTCTTTTGGGTAATGATTGATCGAATACGACTGAAGTAACCACGTACTTGGCTGGTTGTTAACCATTCTTTGATATCGAATATAAATTTCCCTTGAGATGATTTAGCATTTTGCATTTCACTAACAACTGTTTCTGGTTTCCAGAAACGACCATGTAAAATTCCATCGTTGAACTTTTCCTACAAAAGACAAAGTTGTTAGTGGGATGAAAAATGTATAAAATGAAGGCAGAGTATAGAAGAGTTACATATAAATCTTACTCACGTCTAAAAATTTCTTTTGTTTGTTAGTAAAACGAACAGGAGGACGCGTCACCGGAAGTGCCCATCCGACAGTGAGTTCAGGTACTTGATCACAGTTATTCGAATCTAATACAACATCATTTGAAGATAATGAAATAACTCTTTTATTATCAGCATTTGATAATCTTGTATGAAACATTTTTTTCGCTGTGTCCATTAAAGTTACTTTTTCAGGTATATGACGATGATTACCGATTGCAAGATGCCTAAGTAGATTTCCATATTTCACAAACGAGGATATGCAAGCCTCTTCTGGACATTCAAATATGTTGGCAGCTTGATCGATCGATTCCGTACATTCATCGTTAACAGATATATCTATAGAAGATGACAAATTGTTGTTGGTAGACGAACCAAAGATTATTTCCGGCGATGATTTAATTAGATCAAGCGATCCGATAGTGACTTTCTGAAAAGATAAAAAATGCTATTTGGCGAAAACAATGAAAGAGCTAGTTGTATCCTATAAAACTTTAAAGCCTTTCGTAATTATTAGTCGATGCGAAGCTCCTACAGCATTATGAAGTTGCATGAGTCTACTTAAAATGTGACAATATTTTTGAATATTTTCGAACGTTTAAAAATTCGGAAAAGATTTATTTTATATATGTGATTTAGGTTTAGAAATTTTCAAACACTTTCGGAAATTATCGAGATCTTCAAGCTTTTTCTGTTATCGATAGATTTTGCAAATCATTTTTCTTATAGTTGTAGTAAATAAAAGCAATCAAAAGAGATGAGCTATTTGACTTTTGAGTGTCATATTAAATGCTTTTCAATATCTTACTCCATTGATCAATTTGCTATATGATAGTAGAGAGCCCTCCCCAATATCCCATGCTCGATATACTCGAGTCCCATGACGCTCAAAGCAAAAATTTCTAAACTGCTTTATGTTGTTGAATTGAAATTTGGCCGATTGATGAACTGGTTTAAATTGACATTCAACAACGTTGACAGTTTTCACTCCACCATATGATAGACAGGCTTCAACGAACTGTTCGGCATTTGTAACGTCGTGTTTCTCATTTAGATAACGTCTAACATGAGACTTCATAATGGCAGCATATCTATCACTAGAGCCTAAATGAATCAGTAAAGATTTACATTAGGCGTCTTCTAGTCTTTCATATATTACCTCTACCACCTTGAGGATCAGCAAAATCCATTCTTCGTATTGCGATGCCACACTTCTCGGATAAGGCAGGCATTGATAATACTGTATAAGCACTGTGATAACAGCCCGCGTTATCACAGCGAATACAAGCTTGCTGAATTGAATTATCATATACTTTTAATCTTGATAATATATCATCAATTATTGCGACGACAAGTTTACTGTCCTGTGAGCATTGATCGATCACATGGACAAATACTGTATGTTCGAAATTGTTCAAATCTGGGATTAAAATAAGAAAAAAAAGCATATTTTATAAGATCTACATAAATTATTAATACTTATTAGGAAAATCTTATAATATTCTGCTTTTTTACATGAATGACTCGCTATCCAAATTATGTTCTATCTTTTATGAGGGACGCTTTATATAAGACTTGCAATTAATACACTTACAGCATAGAAGAAAGTATTTTTCGTTGAAATATCTAAGAATTTTACCATAGCATTGGAATAGTCTAATAAAATGTCTATAAAGGATTCATTAGATTATATTTATAAAGCAATGTTAGTGGTGTTCGAAATCTCTCTAATGCTTAATTTTAATGCAGAAAAAACTGTTCCATACACCAAGATCCCGAGTTTCTCGTCTCACGATTGATTTACTAATAGAAGAAAAGCTCAAAATACAGTGCGAAATACTTTCATTTAATGAGTAGATATTGCATTCGTATCAACAACGCCCAATAGTGAACCATTTTCTTTAAAAAAAATATAAAATGAAAAGTATGATCTTGAATCCTATGAATAAATCAAATAAATAAGTTTGTAGAGAACTTGAGCTGACAGCATAAGAATCATAAATATTAATAAAAAATAAAAAATAAAAAAATTCATTTGAATAATTTCTTTACTTGTTTCATATTCACAGTCATTTTCACTCTCTTCGTCATTATCTTCATCAACAAGAGCTTGTTTATGACCTTGAGCATAAATTTCATCTTCATGATCATAATTAATCTGAGTAATATTGCTCAATTCTTGTTCTTTCCTGCGTGAAACGACAGTGATGTGCCAAGTTATTCCTCGCTTTCCAAAAAAATTTGTTTGATCTTCCCTATATTTTACAGGAAGCCATCTAAAGCAAAGAAAAATCAATTTTATTCATCAAGTTTATGTAAAAATCTAATGGAAATGTTTTAGATTTGTCAATTTTTTTATATGTCAGAGCATTGTAGTTTTTTTTGTTTTTACAAGCTGTACTGTTGCGTTTCCATACAAGATGTGTGCTTACATTCCGTCATATATTCCTGTTCTATAGTATACAAATGCGAATTTTAGTAGACATTATTCAATGTTATAAATCGTTATATTTAACACCTTTGAAATAAATCTCCCCAAGAGCAACAAAGGTTACGAAATATAGCTAAACTCCCCCTCAGAATAAAAGGCCATGGCCTTCTATTATGGAAATTTACATCGTTCTTTTCAGGGTGGCCTTCTATTAAGGGTGGCCTTGTAATAGGACTTTTATGGTAAAAAATTACAATTTTTTTTGTTAGTTACTGATTTTGTTTTTCTAGCTCAGCAACTGAAAATTGAAATTTGTTTAGGCTTTTTGAGCTAATGCTATCTGTAAACTAGCTCCGGTGACCGATGTACAAATTGATGTTTTCTTTTTCATTTCATATTATTTCATATCTTTTATTTACTTTCTTGAATGAAAATTGTCTTATAAATAGAACAAAAACAAACATTAACTGTCACACATCAGACCGTACATTGAATTACTGTTTCCAAAAGTCACTCAATTTTAATTGTTTATTAGCAATTTTATTTGTAATGATAAGGTTCGTTTCATTTTCATTAGTTTCTTCGATAATTATGTCGTTTTCCATATTTGAATTAGTTAAATTACGATCAGTCGGATCGTAAATATATCCAGGAAGAGTATGAGGTTTTACTGGTGTAATATTATCGGTCCATGTGTAACCAATTTGACGAAAACTTTTCTTAAAATCGATAGAAGCAAGTGTTCTTTTCCATGCAGCCAACGTAAGTCGTGTACACAAAATCCTTGATTCTGAAGCAGTAAGTTTGATCTTTGAGCGCCACCTGCTTTCTCGATGTATTCTACTGAACAATCATAATAGTGATTTTTAAATATCGCAAATACATAAACATCGAGTGCTTGAATATACATAGTACACCCCTTTGGTATTACTGCAACAACAATGTTTTTTTTCTTAATAATCGAATTGATGCTTCATCAAGATGTGTGTTTGAACTATCAGCAATAAATAATTTTGGATTTTTATCATTAACTTTGGAGGTCCAATATTTAATATATCTGGAAAGGAGAGTAAATATATTTTTTCATCACATCCTTAATTTCAGTTCAATGATAGAAATGAAATGAACAATTTATTGTTTTCCACTCTATATTAAGCAACTAATTTGGATAGAATCAAAAGCGATTGTATTTTTATTATTTCCTCTATTAGCTTAAGGAAAGTTGTTACTATTTCTAAGCTGCTCCAGGTCATAATACGAATTGGAATCTCTGTACAGAAAAAAATAATTTGTTTTGCTGTCTTCTATAAGAGAAAACAAGAAAAGGAGCCAAAAGTTTAATTCAACTTCTGATCAAGTCTGTTATTCTGAATATCATTATTTCTTGATCTAAAAAATTATTTTAGGTGAAACGAGTATATTTTTTATACAAAAATCAGTTTTACATTTCTTTCATGTTCTTTTATTCGTTCTTTAACTTACTTATCCATTGTAATCCGATTGTTGACTGCTTTCGGAGTAAAATATACTTTAACATCTTTAGCATATTGACTTTTCCCAAGGTCCCGCACCTGCCATTTTCCCTTGAAAAGTAATACTGGACCAACTCGTGTATTATCATCACCAAAAATTGTTAATATAACTGTAGCAAATCGCTTATTGCTAATACAGCCTTCAATATCATTGGACGTGTTGATATCATTTATAGATAATTTCGATTGATCACCAAATAAATTTAATGGACTTTCGTCCATATTACATACATCTTGAACGAGAAATGCTCCCATGGGACCGCGACTCGGCGCCCATAGACTTGCTCGACGAATATAGTCATAGAATTTGTTAACAAGTGGATATACATCGGATAATGGAATTTTTTGGTTTCTCTTCGGTTTTTGAAGAGATAAACGATGATGACGCATGAACCTCGCAAACCATTTTGTACTTGGATAATCATGTTGTAATTGAACACTTAACAACCTGCCTTGACGTTGTAATTGACGAAATGTTACTTTTTCACGTCGTATTGTCGTCGTCGTTGTTGTAACAGTTGTAGCAATGGATTGAAGATCGATAAATGTGCTCTTTTCACGAAACCATAATAATAATTGATAATCGAGGTCAATATATTTTATTTTTGAACCGCCACCACTTAAACGTTTGCGTTTTTTACCTAAAGTGAAATGTACAATTACTTTTTAAACAAAACAATAATTATGTTTAACGACTAGCCGTCTTTGTCCTTGTTCTGAATAAAGTACAAGTATAGTTGCATTATTTCGTTGATATTTCTCTAGCTGGAATCAGCTATCGTATATAGAATTCATCTATCTCGAAAAATTTTCATCTGCATTAAAAATTCAATTGTTTGAAATATATTAGTTCATCTTACTATGCTTGGCTTTGGACATTATTTCAAGCTCCGCCTTCGATTTAGCCCATTGTGACAATTGATATCGTGAACAACCACATTGATGAGCAGTAAGCTGTTTGTTGCCTAAATTTTTTCCAAGAACATTTAATGCAGATAATTTTTCTTTGATGGACCATTGCCTACGTTTTCGTTTGCTACTGCCAGACTCGCCAATGGTTTTTGATGATGGTTGTTGCGATTGGACGGCATCCGCAATTGGATTTGCATGTGGTGTTATTGAACAAGTTATATTAGAAACTATTGGACTATCAGAATCGTCATCTTTTTCATCTTCATTTTCATCAATGAATTTCTTCTTTCTATTTTGATCGTGATCTTCATCAGAGCTAAGTCCAGTATCGTCAGCAGAATCCAAATTTAAATAATTATTTAATCGAACAAGTAAATTTTCACTATCTTCTGCATCAGAAACGATTTCCAATTGATCACTTTCTGCTGAACTATCCGATTCTTGTTCATTATCGTTGATAGATGGTAATAGCAGTAAGTGTTCATCACATTCTTCATACATATCTTTGTTTCGCTGTTCAATTCAATCTGACTATATAATGGCTACTTATATTGCATTTTATGGATATGATTGAATTTTTTCGAACGATGCATTCTTTTCTCTTGCTAGAATGGCCTAATCTATTGTCTATACTTATCCGTCATATTATTTATTTTAAACAAAAGGAAACAGTAATGCTTTCGACCTCTTTCAAAAGGTCATCATTAACACTAAAGTTATATGAAAAAAATTTACAGATAATATATGAGAAATTTTTCCCATCTTTTTTTCTCTTTCGTTCTGTTCTGAACATTGCACTGTGAAGGTGAGAAATGATTTTGTCTCAGTGCAATGTTCAGAACAGAACGAAAGAGAAAAAAAATGGGAAAAATTGTCTCATATATTATCTGCAAATTTTTTTCATATAACTTTAGCGTTAATAATGACCCTTTCAGAGAGGTCGAAAGCTAAACTATATATTTTTATTTAAAATAAATAAAATTTTTGATGAACCAGTTTATCTTGCCATTAGTTTATTCACTTATTTATATTTCATCAACAAATATTACTATACTTATCCGACGTCTAGCACCATAAATAAATCAAAGATCAGAAAAGTTTTCCTGATATGAACAAAGGACCAGAGATTGATGTACATGCAAATAATTTTAGTGATAGATGAGTAAGTTGAATAAACACAGATGATAAAAGAGCAACTGCTCTATGAAAACTTCTTTTATCCATACAATTCATGCTCAGACGAGATAGACGAGGAAGAAGGAAACCATCAACAGCAGCAGGTAATCTAAAATTTCATTTTACTGATACTTTTATAAATCATCGTATGTTACTTACGGAATTAAATCAAATTCATCGTTGTCAAAAACTATTGAATCTTGTACACCAACAGAAAGATTTTGAATCGAAGGTATGCACGTTACTAAACGCTCTAAAAAGCGTATTGTGTTTACACCAGTGGTTAATGTATGAAGATAAACTGTACTAGAAAGATTAGGTAAAGTCATTAGTGGTGGCGCTGAGAACTCTGGTAAATGATAACGTTGTGTAGGACAAAAATCAAACGGTAGTCGACAAGTTCGTAGATTAGGTAGTTGTGAACATACCTATAATAATAAAAAAATCAAGTCTTATATAGGGTACATAAAATTGTGGTTTCAGATCTGATCAACAAACTTTATACCATATTAAAACGCATCGAAAACGGAATTTATCATTACGACATAGTAATGGTTGTGTATTATCAGTATTCAATTCAAGAAATTTCCAGAATTTTATGGCATATAAGCATAGAAAAATTCCTTTGATGACGTATTTCAAACTAGATCTGCTGTAAAAAGATGAATATCATAAAATGATCGACACTTAGCTTAGAAATATTGGAACAATAATCAAAAACGAAGTAGAGAAAAAAATCTATCATACATGAAATACAATCATTATCATGAAGAAACACTAAATAAATATATTTGAGTCGTTTTGACAAACATGGAAGCAAACATTTAATAATGTTAAATTCTTTTATATTGGTACCGGTCTCGTGTTCGTGCTGTAAAGAATTCTAATAGTCAGCATATTCATTATTGATTATATTTATCAAATCTTAAAAAATAAATATTGCTTTGTGATATTCATTATTTTACATCAGATCCAGCTTGAAATGCTTCACCAAAAGAATTTTTCTATGCCTATATATCATACACTTCTGGAAAGTTACTGAATTGAACACTGATCATTTGCCATTATCCTTAGTATTTAGTAGTAACAAATTCCATTTTCGATGCACTCTAATTTGATATAAATTTTGTTGATGAGGGTATTCGAAATCACAGCGTTACCACCAGGAGAAACGTTTTTACGCATTCTCTAGATAATATTATTAGAAGTTTTTTCTCTCAAACAAAAACTACCAGTTCCATAATAGACTTGCGCAAAGTTTGTTTTCTTACCTTAGCCAAATATGCTCCTTCCACTACCTGCCCGCTGAATGAACTAGAATCTATCAGATCGACCAGTAATGTGTGTAATTGTCTTACTAAACGATCATACAATAATTTATCAAATTCGTGTGGTTTAATGTCGATCAGATGAAGATGTCGGAGCAATGTTGTTTGTTGATATTTTAGAGATGATGAAACAAGTGACCATCCGCCAATAAAATTATTTAATCTAATACGTAATGAGAGAACACGACGTCCTACCAATTTTAAGACATTTTGACAAAAATCCTTGAACATCGTTAATGACATCGTACTATCATCAATATGAATGTGCCACAAATATTGATATATAAGGATTGTTGAAAAACGTTTATTCAATGAAAAAAATGACTGAAGAATATTAACAGGAGACAAATAACCAAAAATTTCAAAAAGAACATCGTCAGATAAACACTCAAAATTGGTTACCATCATTCTTTTCATCTGTCTTATTTATTGATATTCAGTTATATATATATTCGTCTGTTTTCTTTGCCGAGCATTGTTTTATTTTTCGTATTCTATTATTTATGCCAGTCAATCTCAGCGACAGAAAGAAAAAAAAAGCTCAATGATGTTATTAGCTGTCCAATAGATGCTCAGACGACTATACAACATCATTGTTTCATTCCTCCGTTGAATAAAGCGCACACCCAAATATTACGGTCCAAACAGACTAGACAAATTAAAATTGAATTAAGAAATGTGATTTGCGTCGCTACTAGTGCTCGGCATGACCAAAGAACCGTGACTAAAGAAAAAAAGATTGTCCGATAGTAATTTTCTTGTTGAATATGACAAAAATACTTTTGATTTGATCCATTGTATTCAAAATTTTCTCCTCTACAAAATGATGTATAAAACTTGAGGATAGAATGATCTACACGAGAGAAAACAACGACACATTTGTCGTGACCAGTTCTAGTCACGGCCAGTCACGGAAAATTCTGGTTACGACAAATGTGTCGTTGTTTTCTCTCATGTAGATCATTCTATCCTCAAGTTTTGTACATCATTTTGTAGAGAAGAAAATTCTGAATACAATGGATCAAATTAAAAGTATTTTTGTCGTATTCAACAAGAAAATTACTATCGGACAATCTTTTTTTCTTTTGTCACGGTTCTTTGGTCACGTCGGGCACTAGTCGCTACATGGAAACACCAATCACATTTCTTAATTCAGTTTTATTTTTTCTGATGTGTTTGGTCGCTTTTTGAAAATATAACAACTCAACCCTACTTTCCGAAAATTATTGAACCGAAAACAAAATAAACATTTGCTTACTTTAAATCATTCGCTCTGAACTAATGCAAAGAAAAATAAATAAACAACTCAACAATATTTTCTCCAGAACAACGAGAATATTTAACTTTAGTTACAGCAACAAAGTCATCTAAGTTAATGAATATTTACATTTCACTACTACTTTATAATCGATGAGTTTCATTAGCACTTATTGAACTTTCTTTTATATTGTATATTCTGTAATGCAGATAAATGCTTCTTGATATCTACCGTCGATGACGATGGCTGTCTTGGATTTCAACCATTCTATTGACAATAATCACGTCTCTTCGATTTTGAATTTATAAAGCTTAGCATCGACATGCCAAGCGCCAAGTACAGTCAAAAAAACAGTGGTGAATTCAGCAAAGGAGTTGGCGCCTTTTCTACGGGTTGTACCCACCCGCGTACTTTCTTCTGGTTTTAGTATTTTTTTGTTGTGGCTGGTGTGGTAAGTTGAAAGCACTAAACCAGACCGTGAACTCTTTTAGGTTTAGCAAGGCTAAAAATAAGAATCTCTTCTATGGAAATTAGCGAAAAATGACTAGTATTTCGAAGTTTTGATCATCGAAACTCGATGTATGCGCAAGGGTGTGGGTGTGGGTGTGGGTGTGCGTGTGGATTTAAATGTATAGAAGACAAGACACACACCAACATCGATACCCACACCCACGCTCCCACCCTCACCCCCACCCACACCCACACGCCACAACTAGCCACACACACATCCACACTCACCCACACCCACACCCTACTTTGGTTTGAATAACAAGGTAGCAAGTGGCATTTTGTCAACTGAAGCAAAGTACCTACGTATACTTTATTTCAGATTTCTATTAAAAATGCTGAGGAAAGTAGAAGACAGAATATTGAGAGAGACATTAGAGGAGAAAAGAATAAGAAATAAAGATCCATGTTGGAGCACTGTAACAAAGTTATGTATATTCAAATAGGCATTTAGATGGGAATCGGTTCCAAATATTTGGAACCGAATCGAACCGATCCCATCACTGATCGGTGACGAGCTTTTCTCTCATTAATTTTTTTTATCTTTGTCGCAGAATAATAAATCGAAAAATCAATGCTTGGTTGGGCCAGCTCCATGGAGCGGATGGTAACGAGTCGAAGCTGTCAGTCTCTGAGACAGCTGTCACGTGAGAATGATGAGAATTTTTCGTCTCCAAACAGTTCGAATATTCGTGATCGTGATCGTGAATTTGATCTAAGATAACTCGTCACCGTGATCGTGACCGTGAATTTGGGCTGAGAAAATCCGTGATCGTGATTCACAGCCTTGTTTTTCTCGTGATTGGGATCGTGTTCTTAATCAAAAATAGCAATAACGCAGTACTTTAACCCACACTATCCATTTTTTCCTTTTTGAATATCAAGATTAGTATATTTTTTCTACTTCAATTTTCGAATCAAATTTTAAAAGCTGTTTTGATTTTACGTCATTTGTCCGTTTTATCATTTTTTTATGCGTATTTTCATTCATATCTACCCTGTCTTTTTCTTTGAATTTCTTATTTTGCTTATTAGTTGAATGCCAGGGCTGATAAGGGCTTCTAATTATTGAAATAAATAAAATAAGCCTGTGAAATCAATCTTTGTATTTCCTGTAATTATATTAATTTAAGAACATGATATAACAGTATTCTTCTTTCGACTTGATTAGTTGCTGCAAAGAGGAGATATTGCCTGATCTATTTTCTAATTAATTTACACTGACGCTCAGCTCGAAGAAAAATAGGCATGACAACTTTCTGAGACGTTCAACAATATTTCATCGAAAAATTGAATGCTAGAGGTACTGATCACTTTTTATTGGTGCTAGTAATCTTTCTCATAAATTATAAATGTGCTTTAACATGGGATATGTGCCGTTAGAATAGTGCTGAAGTGGAAAATGTTTTATGTTAGATACAATAATAATTGAATGTTTACGAAAAAGGAAATAGGAGAGAATAATGACACAAAACATTGGCAGAAACACAACACAAGTAAGTTCATTGTAATAGAGTTAGACGCACTCATTTTGATCTAACTTCTGTTCTCGCGTAGTCAGTTGTTGCATTATCCTGTAATTATTGCCATTATTTTCAATTATAATGCATTACAATGGAAAAAAATACATTATAATGAAAAATAATGCATTATAATGGCAATAATTACAGAACAATGCAACCACCGGCTGCACGAGTTGATGCTCTGCAATGTGGACAACCACTAGGATAGCCATGGGCACAAAGCATGAGTTCAATGGGGCCACCTCTTCCGGGTTCAACAGAAGTCATTGTTGGCCAGTTTGTGAAACCAAAATTGTTCGGAAAACTATTGTCTCGTGGTGTAGTAAAGTCTCGATTCATCTATAATCTTGTTCAGCTATTATTCCAAATATAGTTGTCGTATAGTTGATGAAGTTGTTCGGCGACGTGTTCTGTTTTTATAGCAATTGCACGGCTTATTTATAGGAGAAAGCCAATGAAAGTGGGAAATTTCCACCTTGTATAACGTTCTTTTTATCTTGGAAACTAAACGCTCGACATAATAAACAGAATCGCAAAGAAAAAAATTGTACTTTTTTGCTTGTTTAAAGCAGCTAACTATATTTCCGTAAATTGGAAAAAACCTTTTTTTTAATGTGGCAAATCAACATGTATTAAAAAACAATTTTTTCTTTCTATTTTGACGTATTATTTATATACAGGATGACACATAACCTTTGCCTCCCCCTCTATAACGTAAAGTATCAATGATATCAAAAATGTATTTTATACGAAATTAAAGCGCGTTAAAAACTGAGTTTATTGGTACTAAATAGTAAAGATTGTGAAGGCCTTTTAATGTCAAACTTAAGAGATGTTCAGAAATTGGATGCTTTTTTTGGGGTAGAAAATTAAGGCGACAGTAATTCAAAAATGGAGTAAGATT